TTCCGGTACCAATCAAATTCCAATTTATCGTTGTTCTTGATAATTGTTACGTCAAGAAAGTTCAATGTATTTCCCCCCAATTCTAAAGTAAATTGTAATCTGGGGTGAAACGAGTTGAAAATGTCTAATACTTTCTTGGCCTCTTTTTGTGGGACCGCCAACATTATGTCATCTACATATCTGTAGTAGACCGGCACTTCAATCCCTAGAGCCCTAATCGCCCTTAGGGCACTCTCCTCGATATCCTGGAGCACTAAATCTGCAATGGGGGGGGGAAGTAGGTGAGCCCATGGGTGTCCCGAACTTTTGTCTGTATGTTATATTGTCAAATGTAAAGAATGTGGAGTTGAGAATCAGTTCTAAGCCATTAAAGAATTCTCCTTTTGGTATCTTGCAATTTTTTGATATATCGTTCCATCTTCTATTCACACTTTCAATTGCCAAGTCTAAAGGAACGTTCGTAAACAGAGATATCACGTCTAACGAAATTAAAACGAAATCCTCCCCCAATTCGATCCTTCTTAATTTGTCAACTAGCTGAAAACTGTTTTCAATATGGCTATTAGCTTTAGGGGTGTTCTCCTTTAATATTTTTTGAATGAAGGATGCAAAGCCTTGTAGGGGACTATCTACCGAGGAAATGATCAATCTATAAGGATGCTCGGGTTTGTGAATTTTCGGTAGTCCATAGGCCCTTGGTAGTAACCCATCCCCGCAGATTATCCTGCTATACGTTGTCGAATCTATGTACTCAAGTTTGCGCCACCGTGTTAAAATCTCGCGTATTTTATTTGTAAGTTTGCAGCCGACAACTAAATAAGTAACACAAAAGGCGATATTAGTACAAGAAATGTTAATGTTTTATCCATTGCGACAATACGACATAAGAAATGTTAAAGTTTTATCTATTGGGACAATACGATTTTGACTTGCTGCACAGGGGTGAGTACACAATTTCCGGCTCTCCAAATTCGAACAACTTTTTTAAAAAGATCAAAATCTTATAATTCAGATTCACGATACTTTCTCTCGGGAAATTGGAGGTAGACTCACCGATGTGGAGCATGAAAGCTTATAACTATAATGATAA